ACCTTGTCACACCTTTTTCACACCTTGTAACACCTTGTCACACCTTGTAACACCTTGTCACACCTTGTCACACCTTGTCACAACTTGTCACACCTTGTAACACCTTGTCACACCTTGTAACACCTTGTCACACCTTGTAACACCTTGTCACACCTTGTCACACCTTGTAACACCTTGTCACACCTTGTCACACCTTGTAACACCTTGTCACACCTTGTAACAACTTGTAACACCTTGTCACACCTTGTCACACCTTGTAACACCTTGTAACACCTTGTCACACCTTGTCACACCTTGTCACACCTTGTAACACCTTGTCACACCTTGTAACACCTTGTCACACCTTGTCACACCTTGTCACACCTTGTAACACCTTGTAACACCTTGTCACACCTTGTAACACCTTGTCACACCTTGTAACACCTTGTCACACCTTGTCACACCTTGTAACACCTTGTCATACCTTGTAACACCTTGTAACACCTTGTCACACCTTGTACACCTTGTCACACTTGTCACACCTTGTAACACCGTTTCAAAATCTTGTCACACCTTGTAACACCTTGTCACACCTTGTACACCTTGTACACCTTGTAACACCTTGTAACACCTTGTAACACCTTGTCACACCTTGTCACACCTTGTCACACCTTGTAACACCTTGTAACACCTTGTAACACCTTGTCACACCTTGCCTCATTATGTGGTGTTAGCTTAGTTAAATGTTTTCATTATGAATCCCATACCCAGCCTGTGGGTGGTGGTCAAAAGATTACAGAGGTACATAATGGGCCCAGGGACTGTACCTCAACATTACAGAGGTACATAATGGGTCCAGGGACTGTACCTCAACATTACAGAGGTACATAATGGGTCCAGGGACTGTACCTCAACATTACAGAGGTACATAATGGGACCAGGGACTGTACCTCAACATTACAGAGGTACATAATGGGTCCAGGGACTGTACCTCAACATTACAGAGGTACATAATGGGACCAGGGACTGTACCTCAACATTACAGAGGTACATAATGGGTCTAGGGACTGTACCTCAACATTACAGAGGTACATAATTGGTCCAGGGACTGTACCTCAACATTACAGAGGTACATAATGGGACCAGGGTCTGTACCTCAACATTACAGAGGTACATAATGGGTCCAGGGACTGTACCTCAACATTACAGAGGTACATAATGGGACCAGGGACTGTACCTCAACATTACAGAGGTACATAATGGGTCCAGGGACTGTACCTCAACATTACAGAGGTACATAATGGGTCCAGGACTGTACCTCAACATTACAGAGGTACATAATGGGTCCAGAGACTGTACCTCAACATTACAGAGGTACATAATGGGTCCAGGGACTGTACCTCAACATTACAAAGGTACATAATGGGTCCAGGAACTGTACCTCAACATTACAGAGGTACATAATGGGTCCAGGGACTGTACCTCAACATTACAGAGGTACATAATGGGTCCAGAGACTGTACCTCAACATTACAGAGGTACATAATGGGTCCAGAGACTGTACCTCAACATTACAGAGGTACATAATGGGTCCAGAGACTGTACCTCAACATTACAGAGGTACATAATGGGTCCAGGGACTGTACCTCAACATTACAGAGGTACATAAGGGGTTCCAGGGACTGTACCTCAACATTACAGAGGTACATAATGGGTCCAGGGACTGTACCTCAACATTACAGAGGAACATAATGGGCCCAGAGACTGTACCTCAACATTACAGAGGTACATAATGGGTCCAGGGACTGTACCTCAACATTACAGAGGTACATAATGGGTCCAGGGACTGTACTTCAACATTACAGAGGTACATAATGGGTCCAGAGGACTGTACCTCAACATTACAGAGGTACATAATGGGTCCAGAGACTGTACCTCAACATTACAGAGGTACATAATGGGTCCAGAGACTGTACCTCAACATTACAGAGGTACATAATGGGTCCAGGGACTGTACCTCAACATTACAGAGGTACATAATGGGTCCAGGGACTGTACCTCAACATTACAGAGGTACATAATGGGTCCAGGGACTGTACCTCAACATTACAGAGGAACATAATGGGTCCAGAGACTGTACCTCAACATTACAGTGGTACATAATGGGTCCAGGGACTGTACCTCAACATTACAGAGGTACATAATGGGTCCAGGGACTGTACTTCAACATTACAGAGGTACATAATGGGTCCAGGGACTGTACCTCAACATTGCAGTGGTACATAATGGGTCCAGGGACTGTACCTCAACATGACAGTGGTATATAATGGGTCAAGGGACTGTACCTCAACATTACAGTGGTATATAATGGGTCCAGGGACTGTACCTCAACATTACAGTGGTATATAATGGGTCCAGGGACTGTAGCTCAACATTACAGTGGTATATAATGGGTCCAGGGACTGTACCTCAACATTACAGTGGTATATAATGGGTCCAGGGACTGTACCTCAACATTACAGTGGTATATAATGGGTCCAGGGACTGTACCTCAACATTACAGTGGTATATAATGGGTCCAGGGACTGAACCTCAACATTAACGTGGTACATAATGGGTCCAGGGACTGTACCTCACATTACATGGTATATAATGGGTCCAGGGACTGTACCTCAACATTACAGTGGTACATAATGGGTCCAGGGGATGTACCCCCAACATTACAGAGGTACATAGTGGGTCCAGGGACTGTACCTCAACATTACAGAGGTACATAAGGGGTCCAGGGACTGTACCTCAACATTACAGAGGTACATAATGAGTCCAGGGGCTGTACCTCAACATTACAGTGGTATATAATGGGTCCAGGGACTGTACCTCAACATTACAGAGGTACATAATGGGTCCAGGGACTGTACCTCAACATTGCAGAGGTACATAATGGGTCCAGGGACTGTACCTCAACATTACAGAGGTACATAATGGGTCCAGGGACTGTACCTCAACATTGCAGTGGTATATAATGGGTCCAGGGACTGTATCTCAACATTACAGTGGTACATAATGGGTCCAGGGACTGTACCTCAACATTACAGTGGTATATAATGGGTCCAGGGACTGTACCTCAACATTACAGTGGTATATAATGGGTCCAGGGACTGTACCTCAACATTACAGTGGTATATAATGGGTCCAGGGACTGTACCTCAACATTACAGTGGTATATAATGGGTCCAGGTACTGTACCTCAACATTACAGTGGTATATAATGGGTCCAGGGACTGTACCTCAACATTACAGAGGTACATAATGGGTCCAGGGACTGTACCTCAACATTACAGAGGTACATAATGGATCCAGGAACTGTGCCTCAACATTACAGAGGTACATAATGGGTCAAGGGACTGTACC